AACGTTTTAACTTTGTGTTAAGACTTAAGTTTTGCGTTCAGTAAAGAGTAAAGTTGAAGTCTTTTCTTCAAAGAAACATATGGGGACTAAGTATTTCCCAAAGAGATTTAAAATGTTTTCACATTTAAATAGAGCGGAAACTGAGATTTCCAAAGAGCTTTCGGGCTAATTTTCAAAAAAAAAGTAATAGTTTTCTAAATGAAACAAGCAGGGAAACTGAGATTTCCAAGATAGCCTTCGAGCTAAGTTTTTAGCACTAATTTCAAATCACAGAATAAGTATGTTTTAAAACATAAGAGCTAGTATATTTTGAGAGTAGTATTGAGCACCGAATTGGGGACGAGCATGAGTTTAGATAACTCACGTCACCATAGAACCATGTAGCCACCATGGGTAGAAAAGGGTCATACTTTTTAGATGAATCCTTTACGAAATAGACTAGTGGATCCATTAGGCAGTTCAGGTTCTATACCTTTGGCCGGGTATAGGATGCGCTGGCAGTGTGAGGTAGATCGTTGTATCATCACTATAGCTTTTATGTGATGGTTGTCGGTTAGAGAAACTCCCACATAAGTTATTGTATTTTTACATACATTTAGTGTTATATTGTATCCTTGTATATACACAGAGTTGACATCATGTTTTTAAACAACTTTTCTTTATATTGCACTTGTTTTAAACTGCTTTATATTGAAATGAGTTCAGTTAAGTATTCATGAGTTGAGAAGAGACAAGGTAAATGTTTCTTTCAGATTCCCTTTCAAGCCTATGTTGTATTAGCATTCCAACTCGCATACTCGTACATTCAATGTATTGATGTCAGTTGGCCTGCATCATCTTATGATGCAGACACAGGTAACTAGGATCGGCATTCTAGCGCACCGTTGATCCAGTGAGCAGTTCAGAGTCAATCGGTGAGCCTCATTGCATCCGAAGGATCTATTTTCATTACTTTCTAGTTTAGTCCATTAGGATGTTGTGGGGTTTGTCCCAACATTGTAACACCCAGAAATTTTTTTCGAACTAATACTCGAACTGTTCATCGTAGTGAGTGAAATTTTATCGAGGAATTAAAATTTCTTAAGTGTTAAGGTCACTAGATGTAGCACATTGAGTTCCAAAAAGAATTAAATTGGATATAGCAAAATCTGAAATTTTGCAAGTTAAGCTAAGTATGAGTTTTGGGTCGACTTCAAATGATCATAACTCCTAAATCAGGATGAGTTAGGTGTTCTACCAGATACCGTAGAAAAGATCTTTGAATTATATTTCCAACGCCGCTGAGTTTGCTAAGTTTCGAGGTCGGATGAGTGAGATATGGCCTTTTGAAGATAGGTTGTCCAGTTAAGAAAAGTTAGTCGAAAATAGAGAGGGGTATTTTGGTCTTTTCCTTACCAATCAGATTTAATTCGTTTTTAGTAATTTTTTAAGGGTTTAATCCTATTAGGTTCAGTTTTATAATCCTAAAATTAGCCTAGGGTTTTAGTTGAGAGTTAAAGAAGAGAAAAGAGGAGAGGATCAAGCGTTGGGTTTGTTGCGTGTTGTAGCGGATTTTCGCCATGGGTTTGATCTCTAAGAGGTATGTAAGCTTCCATAGTGTTGGGTTTGGTTCGACCCTACACGCCAAACATGTAATTTTCAGCGCAAATTTCATTCTTGAAGTTGAAAGATTAGAGTTCTTGATAAGTTCTTGATAGGTGTTCTTGAAGTTCATTCTAAATCTTGTTGTGTTGGGTTTTGGATGATTTCTTGAGATCAAAGTGAGGGTTTTAAGGGATGTATTGAGTGTATTGAGTATATTAGAGTTTACTTATGTTAAGTAATCAATTCTAAGTAATTGGGGAAGAAACCATTCGATTCTAGGCGAAATAGGGTGAGAAAACGAGAAAAGAAACTTGCTGAATTTTCTGGGTTGGGGCCTGGCGAGATGTGCCTTCCAGAGCGCCCCAAACCCACGTCTGAAGTTTAGGGGCTGGCGCCCCACGCCACCCATAGCGCCAGGGTCGCCTGCCCCATCCAGTTTGTCGTTGGTTACCCGTTTGAGTTCGTTTAAAGTGCACCTTCACTCCTTTTCGATTCTAACTACTCTAAGCTACTTCTAAACACCTAAAATCATTCCTAACATGATGGTAACCTTGAATTCATAAATCAAATTCAAGGTAGAGTTGAGAGTCAAGTTTGAGAGTTGTTTCAAACCTTTTTATAAGGTCCCTTAGAGTCTTTTTTAGGAGTCTTCTACAATTACTAGTAACTTGTTTCAGGACTCAAGCAAGTGAGTGTGAGGATGAGGAGAATGTACTCATGAGTCTACTTTGTCATCGTGAGATCTTTCATATCGTGAACCATAACTCTTGAATTCAAAATTCTCATTTAAGAGAGAGTTAAAAGTAGAGTTCAAGAAAGCCATTGAGTTCAATTGTGAATCCTTTGAGATCAACCATCGATTTGAACCAAGTTTTGAGGTAGTAAGTAAGAGAATGAGAAGTAGTCGTATACATGAGTTCCATAATGTTATGTAGACCTACGAGTCAAGTCGTTCATGCCCATAAATTCCGCATGAACCCTCTGAGTTGAGCATTCTTGAAGTGAGTTAGTATTATTGAAGTTCTTGAGTTCCAAGTATTTGAGTTCTATCTATGGTTATTGAAAATCTTGCATTGAGTCGTTCACGTCCATAATTCGGCATGAATCTCATTTTAAGAAGTCTTTTTACAAATGTTGTAACTTTGTTTTAAGACTAAAAGTTTCAAGTTAAGCAAAGAGTAAAGAGTTGAGTCCATTTCTCAAAAAGCTATAAGGGAACTAAGTATTCCCAAAAAGTTTATAAATGTTTCCACATTTGAGCAAGAAAAGGGAACATCGATTCCAAGAGAGCTTTTAAGCTAAGTTTTGAGTAATTATCTCAATTCAAAGAAAGAGTTTTGTTTTACAAACATATGAGCCAAGTATATTTTGGGAGTAGTATTGAACACCGATATTTTATTTTCAAGTCTCCATAAACCATGTAGCCATCATGGGTAGTATAGGATCATACTTTTTAGATGACTCATTAAGATGCTCTTAGCATAGACTAGTGGATCCACTAAGTTAAGCGTTCTATATGACGGCAAAGTATATGACAGTTCTGGCAGCGTGGGCAAGACGTTGTATCACCACTTAGGCTCATAGTGGTGGTTGTCGGTTAGAGAATCTCCCACATAAATTATATTACTTTATTATATGAGTAAAGTTGAGTTTGTTATTGCATTTTATTTAACGAACTAAGTTGTTTTCTATTGTTTTAATGGCTTTCTATATATTGCATGTGTATTGTTGCTTTATATTGAGTTGAGTATCCAAAGTTGAGTATCATATCTTTGAGTTGAGTATCTAATCTCTGAGTTGAGTATCTTATCCTTGAGTACTTCTAAGTTGAGTAAGTTTGAGTAGTTGTGAGTATCCTTGAGTATTCCTTGAGTTGAGTAAGTTTGAAAAGAGGTAAGTATGTCTCTTTTTTTATTAAAGTTCAAGCTTATGTTTCTGCTTTAGAATTCCTCTTACATGCTCGTACATTCCACGTACTGAGCCATTTGGCCTGCATCTTCTCATGATGCAGACACAGGTATTCAGGATCATCAACAGGAGATTCGTTGATACATCCGGGAGTTCGAGTTAGCTATGGTGAGCCTCCTTGTTTTCGAAGAATTTCATTTACTTTTCAATTTAGTCCGAATGTCGTGGGTCTTGTCCCGACTTCCATCTTTATCAGTTAGAGGCTTCATAGATAGTCAGTATAGTTAAGAAGTCTGTATTATTCATTTATTTTATTAAAATGTTTTTAAAAGACTTAAGTTGCCTATTTTATGGCGAGTTGAATATTATTTATATTCAGAGTATTTCATTTTGAGTTAAAGTTTTATATTTCAGTTTCATGGATTTTTATTCAGTTTTTTTAAGCTTTGAATGCTTGAATCAGTTTTCCGCTTGTAATCAGTCAGGATGAGGGTTCGCTTGGAGACCAACAATGGTTCTCGAGTGCCGGTCACGTCCAGGGTGTAGGCTTGGGATCGTGACAAACATCCATCTCAATTGTTTTAGAGGCTTCATAGACAGATAGTTATTTCAGTTGTCTTTACTTTTCACTTCTTATGTTAAAGACTTGAGTTTGCTTAAATGGCCAGTTGAATGTTCCTTTATGACATTCTAGTTCCTTCATAAATGTTTATGTGATGAGTTAAGTCTTCCGCTGAGTTAGTAAGTCAGGCCAAGGGTTCGCTTGGGGCCAGCAATGGTCTTCGAATGCAGTCCCGCCCAGGGTGTAGGCTCGGGGCGTGACAAATAGGAAGTTTAAAGCGTGAATGAGCAGTTCTTCCGCCAAGAAGTACAGAAGCTGCAACACCAGAAGTTGCAGTAGCTAACGCTATAAATCCTTTAGATCACACAGCAGCTAATAAGGCACGATATAAGTAAGTTTCTCCAGTTCCTCCAGGACCATTAATGAAGAAAGCTCCTGATTCATTTAGGGAAATTCTAGTAAGGATAGCGTTGTAAGCCTTTTGTTGTTCTTTGTTCAAATGTGTATGTAACAATAGATCTTCTGTAGTAACAATTATGTTCCGCTCTAGATGGATGTCTTTAGTATGTTGTATTATACTGGAAGATGTAGCGGAGGAGATATTTTTCGATATGAGCTTGAATTCATTCACATTATGGCCCATTGAATGTAAGATACTGTTGATGTGATTTAAGACTAAATAACAAATGTCATTTGCTTGTATGTTTGGCATATTTGTAAAATCTTCGGACATAGGAATTTCTGCCACAGTTCTTTTGGATTAGCAGGATTACAATATACTAAGAGTGTTGCAAATAAATGCCTGAGGCTATATGGCATTTGATAATCAGTAGCCTCTGACATGCATTCAACTAAGTTATTATCACAAGCAAGCAAGCCGCCTTTTTAAGTTGCCTCTCTAAATGTGGTATAATATCTTTCATTAACAGTTTTAAGATCTTCGTAAGATTTAGGCCCTCTTATGTCCATCAACAATAGTCGAAGATAGTATCTTTCTCTTTCTGTTGGATTACAGGTGACGACACGGCCAATAATGTTACCTTGTTTTCTTCTTGTCCACATTTTATCTCTTGTAGACCAAACTAAATGCTCTGAAAATTCTTTGTATATAATAAGTTAAGTTCAATTGCAGCTTGATTTGTTTTGTTCATTGACAAGAATTCTGTTAACATAGTTCTTTTAACTGCAGGATTATTCAACACTAAATTCAAATTTGTGGTTGTCCTAAATGAAATAAATTGTTGTCCTTCAAGATGAAGCTGAAGATGATAAACTGCAGGAGTCATTTTGCTAATAGAAAAGGCAAACAGACGCCACATAGCTTCTGGCGGTGAATTTCATCTAGCTGATCGATAATCCTTTATTTCTTCTATTTCTATATTAGAATCATTATTGTGTATATGAAAAGCATTTTATCATGTCCTTTGCAGATGTATTTGTTAATATACTTGACAGCTTTAACGTCTGAGCAAATTTCAACATTTATGTGACAAGTAAATTTCGCTAAAAGACATGGATTGTAAGGAACAACCCATAAATTATCTAAATATTGATTTCTAATTAAAATATGTAGCAGTATTCCGTCTTCTGTAAAGTGGGCAGCAATTCTTACCTTTAGATGTTTCATTGGTATAGTTTTGAGGGTATTTAAACTTACAATGACCTAATTTTTTCATGCATGGATTATTAGAATTTAAAACTCCACAAGGACCATGCGTCATATGTTTAATAACTAAGGAATGTAAATAACTATTTGGAGTAGGATCGGGTATTTCAGCACAAACCAGTCGATCATAGCCTTCAGGAGTTAATAATTTATAAGAAAATGTGCATGGGGTAAACCACGCTTTTGAAATTCTATAGTGTAGATAAAAGCAGCAATTTTACCAAAGATTTTTCTCTTAACAATATCCACCTTTAATTCTTCGACCTTTGCCTTAAATATTCGAGTTATTAAATCGGGTCTATTTTGGACCTCATCAGTTGGTAATAAGAAATCTTGTATTTCTGGCCAGGAAGGATTACATGTCATACTATTCAACTTTTATAAATTCATCCACAGAATATTGTTGGAATAATCTGCCAGAATGTAAAGTACCGTTCCTTCATCATCTCTAATTTGAAGCTTATAACAATAATACTCACGGCATGAGATTGTGGTTTTCTTTTATCTTTGTTTATGTAAGAGTTGTTCTTCAGCATTAAGAAGACCATCAACTGAGCACCAATTAGATACAGCAGGAAGCTCTTCATTATTGGAAGTAGAACGTTTTCTGGACAAAATGGGTTGCCGTATTAATAGGAATCCTTCCGTTTTGTTGAGGCATGAGAGAGGGCGGCTCCATGTCGTTGATGTTCTGAAGAAAATGGAGGCGGACCTTGTTACGGTCGGAGGAGTCGGTGGTTGTGGTGGTGGTGGAGAATATATTACGGCGAGAAGCGGCACTTTCACGCTTATGAGCATTCTGGTGTCTTTGAATGCCGTAATGCCATCCATTTTCTCCGTGGGGAAATAACAAAGGATATTGTAGTGAGTCATAACAGCCATAATAATAGTGCACCAGTTGGATATTATTGGAATGAGTATATATTCTAATATGGGGAGTAGAAATAGTATTATTTGATTCAACATCAACCTCTGGAACAGTGGGTAAATTATATGTTCGTTGATCCATTGCAGAATCACATTTAAGTGCAATATAGAAATCAGGTAAGTTTGGAATGCTCGTTAAGGATTTCAGAAACATAAAGAGTATGGATTAATCTTTAAAATGTCAACCAACTTCGCAGTAACTGATCGGTTAAGATTTTCGGAGAATAACATTTTGTTAATTATGTCAACATCATTATCATAAAAGTAGATTTGTAAGTTGCTTACTTCATTATTGACAGAAAGGAGGCTATTTATGAAATGAGAAGGACTACAGGGCAGTGTGTTGACATTGGGATATTTCATTCCGGTTAGTTCAGGTTCTGCAGAATGGAAGAACAATTTAGAAAGAAGCAAACGAAAGAAATGGTGGCAAGGGATAATATGATAAATACAAATTAACCTCTTGTAGTTGATTGTGGTTGATAGAAGGTAGAGCGTTCATTACATGTATTTGATGTTGACCCTGCAATTTTGGAGGTATTAATGTATATATAAGGTAATTGTTCAATCATTATTTGCGAGTAACTTTCATCGGTACTCACCTATTTCATAGACATTGTCACAGTGAATTGATTGAGCTTGGGAGGTAGTAGCTGAAGGTTTATTTTGAGTGAACATAGTAGGTTGCGGTGGAGTTATAGTTTGAAAGTCAGACTGAAGCGGGATAGCAGGAAGATTTTAGGAAAGAGCACGCTTTCGAGCAGAGTATTCTGTGGGGCATCGTGCTAGAAGAGCTGCCTTTTTTTTTCGGGTGGCAATTTGAATTCTAAGATTTTTGGCAGCATTTGTCTGGGCAATTAGGACTGCATCCATTTTGCGTTTGGTGCCAGACATCTGACGGCAAATATTCAGCAAAATTCTTTTATTCAAGGTAAAATCTTAGCGTCCAATTAGGATCTAGGCAGAAAGAGTTATGCAGATAAAATAAAAACCAGAACAGTATATATATTAATATAAGTAAATATGTAGAACACAAAAATGGAGGAACTAAGGTAAAATAAAGAACAGCACAGTATATTATTATTAATATAAGTCAATATGTAGAACACAGAAATGGAGGAACTTACGTTTGTCAGTGAAGAGTATAGCCTTTGTTTCCTTAGCTGGAGAAATGTGAGCTCCAAAATCCTACAGAAGGAGAAGTAACCATCCATTGTATCAGTTAGAACTAAAAATTTAAACGAAGATTTTATTTCTAAAATCACTCTAATTAGCAGAAAAGTCAGATGGCAGGTCAAGGGAAATAGCAAAAAAATAATTCAGTCAACGAAGTCAATATTACAGCTTCAATTTTTTCTACTCGAATTACATACAATTTCAGTCCGTAAGTTCCCTGATTATCAGATCCACATTTTACAAGTTAATTGAAGAGATAATGGAAACAAACACCTTGAACTATTACTTTTTCGCGAGACTCATACATGAACATTTGGTTGTTCTCCTTTTCTTTTCCTACTTGAATTATCACTATGTACGTATCATTCTTTATAACTTTTTCGCGAGTTTCACCCGTGAACAATTTGTTCTCCCTCTATTCTCCCCCCTAAACTATCAGCATCTACGTATTATAAGGAGAAAAATCAGACCTCTATTTCTGTTGCTTCGCCTTTCCTATGTTACTCTTAATGGTTTTTCCCCTTTAGGTATCATCTCATTCATTTTTCTGTAATTTTTCCTCAGTTTTTTGCACTATATCCAAGTAACAATCAAGAGTTGATATCTTCCTTCTTTCTGTTGTTACTAGTCCATCCTATAGTTGTTACCTGCTCGTTCTTTTTAATAATTCCTTCATAAAAATTTGACAGACATCTAGATCCTAGCAAACTACTAAGAGTGACAGCAATGTAGAAAACAAAGAGAACCGAAATGTAGCTTATTGATCTAACTACTGGCATGTAACACAGTTTGCAACAGTGGAACTATTTACATTGTCCAAATCTTCAAAATGATGCGGTTGTCCTACAAAGTTTTGGTCTTTCTACTCCCAAGTTAATTGAAGACATAATGGGATTTCACACGTGAGCAATTGGTTGTTCTCTTTTCCTTTTTCTAACTGAACTATCACCAACACGTGAACATTTGGTTGTTCTCTTTTTCTTTTTCCACCTCAGCTATCACCATCTATCTGTGTATCACTTTTAATAACTCTTTCACAAGTTTAACACGTAGTGATGTTTTTTATGTTAACGCTGGACAGGTCAATTAATGTTTGAGACTCAGAGTCCTAATAGACTAATAAAAGTGACAATAAAGTAGAAAGCAGAGAGAAAGAACCAGAGAGTAGATTATTGATTGCAATTACAATGCAAAAAAACCAACTCAGAACGATATCGTCACCTAAAATAACCCGAAATGTAGCTTATTGATCTAACTACTGGCATGTAACACAGTTTGCAACAGTGGAACTATTTACATTGTCCAAATCTTCAAAATGATGCGGTTGTCCTACAAAGTTTTGGTCTTTCTACTCCCAAGTTAATTGAAGACATAATGGGATTTCACACGTGAGCAATTGGTTGTTCTCTTTTCCTTTTTCTAACTGAACTATCACCAACACGTGAACATTTGGTTGTTCTCTTTTTCTTTTTCCACCTCAGCTATCACCATCTATCTGTGTATCACTTTTAATAACTCTTTCACAAGTTTAACACGTAGTGATGTTTTTTATGTTAACGCTGGACAGGTCAATTAATGTTTGAGACTCAGAGTCCTAATAGACTAATAAAAGTGACAATAAAGTAGAAAGCAGAGAGAAAGAACCAGAGAGTAGATTATTGATTGCAATTACAATGCAAAAAAACCAACTCAGAACGATATCGTCACCTAAAATAACTGTTGTGATATAAGTAGGTGAGAAAGATTGTTGATGTTAGTTAGACAAGTAGGGGCAGGTTAGTCATTTAAAGAAGAAGTTAGTTGTAACTAATTGTGTCAGTTTGTTAGTTAAGAAACTGAGTTAGTATTCTGTTAAAAGTGTGAAGGAGCAACACTATAAATAACTCTTCATTCTGTAACTACATTTACTCAATACAATTACAGTTTTCATATATTCCAAATCTTCTCTCTTCTATGATTGAGTTTCTACAGTTTACGTTCATGGTATCAAAGCCATAAGCTTCATCACAAGCATTGACTGAAGCTGGAATTGGTCAAGGAATCAAAGAATCAGTCCTCTGGTTCATCGATTCATTTGGTTTTTGAAGAATATTGCAGGTCGTAGCTTGGAGAAAGCTGGAATCTGTATTCTTCAGTTTGTTTTGTTGATTTGCTTCCGCAATTAGAAGCTCAATTTGGTGATATCTTCAATGGAGAATGAAGGCTTACATGCAGATCTAACTCAGAATGGATCAGCAACAGTTGTTCCTCAGAATAGCAGTTCATTACAGGGGCAAGGTATTGACTATAATCATCCTCTTTTCCTTAGTCCTGCTGATGTCAGTGGCTTGAGTCTGATTTCCTTTCAACTAACTGGTATTGAAAACTACATGTTGTGGAGTAGATCTATAAGGCTAGCCTTATTAGGGAGGAATAAGATTGGTTTAATTGATGGCACTGTTAAGAAAGAAATGTATAGTGTTGAATTGTGGGGACATTGGGAAAGAGTTAATGCAATTGTTTTGTCTTGGTTAATGAACTCTGTGTGTAAGAGTTTACTGAGTGGAATTGCTTTTGCTTCGACTGCCGTAAGTGTTTGGACTGATCTAAAAGAGAGGTTTGATAGAATAGATGGATCTAGGACTTATAGTCTACACAAAGAGATTGCTTCGCTGCAACAGGGGACTGCTTCTGTTTCTGAGTATTATACCAGACTCAAAGGTTTATGGGATGAGTTTGAGGTATTGGTGCCTGCACCTTGTTGTAATTGTGAGATCTCCAAAGGTTTTATAGCTCACATGAATAGACAAAAGGTATATCAGTTTTTGATGGGATTAAATGACTCCTATCATCAGGCTAGGAGTCAGATCCTTATGATGGATCCATTACCCTCAATTAATCATGTGTATGCTATGGTAATTGGGGATGAAAGCCAAAAAGCTGTGATTGCGTGTACCACTAGCATGAGCATGACTACCATTGGCTTGGACTCTTCTGTTGCTATGTTCTCCAAGACTGGTAGTAGTTCAGGTGTGAGTCAAAGGTTCAAGAAAGGTTCCCTGCTGGTATGTGATTTTTGCAAATGCAAAGGGCACAGCAAAGACTTTTGCTATAAACTTGTTGGTTATCCTCCTGATTTCAAATCAAAGAGGAAGCCTCAGCCTCAAGGAGGTGCTGTCACACAGGCCAACAGTTACTCTACACAATATTCATCAGCTCCTCAGGCTAACTTTACCTATGGTTTTAATACCAACATTCCTCCTCCAGGATGGGGAATATCTAATCAGCAGCATAACAGTATTAATAATGAAGGTACATCTGCAGCTCCTCCTACCAGTCTCAAAGTTAGCCAAGCTGAGAAAGAAGTTCAACATCTTCTCCAAGGATGCACTTTCACTAAAGATCAGTATGATCATATTCTGAAGATGATGCAGCAGAAGTCAGATGTTACTTCTTCTCCCTCTATGTGTAATACTGCTAATACAGGTAAACATTCTTTTGTGTCTAAAGCCAATCAGATGTGGATTATTGATACAGGTGCAACTAATCATATGGTCTCCAGTTTAGACATGATGATTAAGGGGTCAGTGTCGCAGCTTGCAGAGTCTAAACCTATCTATCTTCCAAATGGTAGCACTACTCAAGTTTCTCATGTTGGATGTTGTGCTTTATCAGCAAGAAGTGTGATCACTAATGCACTGCACCTTCCTGATTTCAACTACAATTTGTTGTCAGTCAGTCAAATCACAAAGGAGTTAGGATGCTCAGTTACCTTCTTCCCTAATTTCTGTGTTTTCCAGGATCTTTGCAGTGGGAAGGTGAAGGAAGTTGGTAAGCAAGAAGGAGGTCTATATCTACTGATACAACACTTAACAAATAAAGATGCACATAGTGAAGAGGAGGTTGCATTTGCTGTCAACAATACAAAGGTCATAGACATGGAATTGTGGCACAAAAGGTTGGGGCATGTGTCTTCAGCAGTCCTTGCAAGGATGTTTGCTATGAATAAAGAAAGTTTATGTACAGTGACTAAATGTTCAGTGTGTCCTCTTGCTAAGCAAACAAGATTATCTTTTCCTATTAGCAGTATTAAGACTTCAGCTTGTTTTGATATGATACATGTGGATTTGTGGGGTCCTTATAATACTCCCACTATTGATGGTAACAAGTATTTTCTCACCATTGTTGATGACTTCTCTAGGATGACTTGGTTATTTTTGCTTAAACATAAGTCTGCTGTGTGTGTTTCTCTTAAGGAGTTTCTCTTGTTTGTTAAAACTCAGTTTGGTAGATCAGTCAAAGTCCTAAGGTCTGATAATGGTACTGAGTTTATGAACTCAGTATGTGATGCTATGTTCAAAGAAATGGGCATTATTCATCAGCGATCATGTCCTTATACTCCACAGCAAAATGGTGTTGCTGAAAGAAAACATAGGCATTTGCTTAAGGTGACACGAGCTATCAGATTTCAGGCCAGCATACCATTGAGGTATTGGGGACAATGTGTGTTAGTTGCTGCTTATCTTATTAACAGAATTCCTAGTGGTGTGTTGAATTATGCTACACCTTATGAAAGGCTGTATGGTTGTAAACCTGTGCTAACTCATCTCAAAACTCTAGGATGTTTGTGCTATGCTAAACTATTGACTGAGCATGATAAACTCAAGCCAAGGTCCAGACCTGCTATTCACATGGGTTATTCAGAGGTTCAGAAAGGTTACATCCTACTTGATCTGGGTAATAAGTCATTTTTTACTAGTCGAGATGTAATATTCAGAGAAGATTCCTTTCCGTTTGTCAAAGGGATAGACCTTGTTTCAGAAAACATGTTCTTAGATATATTGCATATCTCAGATGTCCTACCTCCTCACTTGAATTCTATTTCATTTCCTCTTTCTCCTCCAGTTCCTACTTCTTCTGTAGTTGGTTCAGATGATCATGATCTACCTGTTGTGAATCAGCAGGATGATCCTGCATGGTCCCAAGTGTCTGTCTCAGATCCTGCTTCTTTGAATTCTGAGTCTACTTCTGATTGTAGAAGGTCCACTAGACAGAAACATACTCCTACTTGGATGAAAGATTTTGTCTCACTTTTAATGAATATGAAAGTTCCATATCCTTTGTGCAACTCCATGAGCTATGCTCATCTTTCTCCTATCTATCAATCCTACCTTGCTGCCACCTCTGTAGATAAGGAGCCTGACTCTTACTGTGAGGCTGTCAAAGACATAAGGTGGGTAGATTCTATGAAGGCTGAAATTCAGGTTCTAGAGAGTAATGATACCTGGGAGGTCACTGATTTGCCACAGGGCAAAAGACCCATAGGTTGCAGGTGGATTTACAAAGTGAAGTATAAGTCCACAGGTGAAATTGAGAGATTCAAAGCACGATTGGTTGCTAAGGGGTATAGTCAACAAGAGGGCATAGATTACACAGAGACCTTTTCACCTGTAGTAAAGATGGTTACAGTCAGAACCATAGTCTCTCTTGCAGCAGCTAGGCATTGGCACATTCATCAAATGGATGTCTTTAATGCTTTTCTACAGGGGGATCTGGATGATGAGATATATATGCACCTACCTCAGGGTTTTGTCAGTCAAGGGGAGAAGGTGTGTAGACTGAAAAAATCCCTATATGGTCTCAAACAGGCTCCAAGGCAATGGAATCATAAATTGACTGAAGCTCTTATTAGACTCAGGTTTAAGCAGAGTCAACATGACTATTCTTTGTTCATCAATAATACAGAAGAAGGGACCATTATAGTTCTTGTATATGTGGATGACTTGCTAATTACTGGTAGCAGTCTCGAGTTGATAGAAGAAACAAAAACTGCACTACAACAAGCTTTTAAGATGAAGGATCTAGGTGAATTAAAGTACTTCCTAGGTATTGAATTCACTAGATCTTCAGCTGGTATATTAATGCACCAGAGGAAGTATGCTCTTGAACTTATAGCTGAAGTTGGTATGACAGCAGCCAAACCTGCAGGAACCCCTATTGACATAAATGTTAAACTAACATCAAAGTTATATGATGAACATGTGAATCAAGATCAGGAAGAATCAGAGGATCCACTGATAGATCAAAGAATGTATCAAAAACTGATAGGAAAGTTGTTATATCTAAATATGACAAGGCCTGATATAACTTTCAGCACACAAACTCTCAGTCAATTTCTACAACAACCTAAGAAGTCTCATCTTGATGCAGCGTTAAGGGTAGTTAAATACTTAAAGAAGCAGCCTAGACAAGGTTTGTTGTTTGCAAGTAACTCAGATGGACTAGTTACTGCTTTTTGTGATGCTGATTGGGCTTCTTGCCTGCTAACCAGGAGGTCTGTAACAGGATACATGGTAAAAGTTGGGCAGTCATTAGTATCATGGAAGGCAAAGAAACAAACAACAGTTTCAAAAAGTTCAGCTGAAGCTGAATATAGAAGTCTTGCTTCTACTGTGTCAGAGTTAGTGTGGTTGCTTGGATTACTTAAAGAAGTAGGAGCTGAAGTTCAATTACCAGTTCAAGTTCATAGTGACAGTAAGGCAGCTATACAGATTGCAGCAAATCCAGTATATCATGAGAGGACAAAGCATATTGAGATTGATTGTCACTTTATAAGGGAAAGACTACAACAAGGACTTATTAAGGTGAATTATCTTCCTACAAGAGAACAGCCAGCTGATGTATTGACAAAAGGCTTATCTAGGCAACAACATGAACATCTACTATCCAAGCTAGGAGTGCTAGACATTTTTGCACCACCTAGCTTGAAGGGGAGTGTTGTGATATAAGTAGGTGAGAAAGATTGTTGATGTTAGTTAGACAAGTAGGGGCAGGTTAGTCATTTAAAGAAGAAGTTAGTTGTAACTAATTGTGTCAGTTTGTTAGTTAAGAAACTGAGTTAGTATTCTGTTAAAAGTGTGAAGGAGCAACACTATAAATAACTCTTCATTCTGTAACTACATTTACTCAATACAATTACAGTTTTCATATATTCCAAATCTTCTCTCTTCTATGATTGAGTTTCTACAGTTTACGTTCAATAACAACCTATTAAGAGCAAAACTTCGTCAAATCCACACTGAACCTCTTTTCATCACTACACGTACCTACTATGTAATTTTAAGTTGAAGTAAGTATAACCGGTAAAACCAGGAACTATATATCTTACCTATAGAGAACAAACTTGTCACTATATTGTTACAAAATGTAAAAACCTCCAAGCAAACTATTACTGAATACAATGAAGAATTCAAGTTGGAAATAGGTAGTTTCTTTATCCCACACCTCAATATTATTATGGAATACATATTTGGGGTCAGAAGAGGATCCTTTTTTTTTCCTTCTAATTTTTGTTGGTGATCACTTTTTATACTTTATATGAAATTTTTGGGGGTTCTAATATTGCAGCTCCTACGTTTTGTCAAGGTCTCACAATTGCTTCAGTAACTCAATAAATTAAAGCTCTTGCAGAAAGGAAGTAACTCGGAAGAACAGAAATCATCCAACACAATCGAATTAAAGGCAAATCAGAAGAGATTTTGCAGCACCATAATTTACAGAAGAAAAATCAGACAATGAGCGAAAAATGCATAATTCTACCTTTTTGTTTGTTTGCAAAAGAGAACCTTGAAGAGTATTTATTTGAGTGAACACATAATGAATGTGGTGTTTTCCCATAGAAATAATGGAGCTTTTCAAAACGATGCAACACATGCATCCTTGTGAATCCAAGTAAAATACACGTGGCAGGGATAACCACAGGGGGGAAATGACACTCTGCCTGTGGAATGTCTGAAATCTTATCCCTTTGGATAATACCTTGTGGGGAAATGACGGGTCTGCCCTTGACTGGCTGGAAAATATCTCTTTTGCAGAAATGACAGGTTTGCCCTTGAATGGCTAAAAGGCTATCCCTTATTAAGTATGATGATGATATAAAGTTAAGAGTTATTATAGTGAGATGTCGGTATAACGACCATGTTTGTCTGGCCCTATTATAACAATGTGAAAATTTCATATATGACATTTATTAGACTAATATTTTCAAGTTATAGCATAGAATAAAATTTTCAAGTTGTAACAATAAAAAATTTTAGGTTGTAACATTTTATTAAATAAAAAAAAATTAATTAATTGTAAAAATTTGTTTTGAAAAAAATAAAAAGGATAAAAAATTGATTTTGAAAAAAAATAAAAAGATAAAAAGGAAAATAAATCGATTTTGAAGAAAAAAAACGGAAATAGGTGTATTAATAAAATTTGAATTGATTGATGATAATTATTAATTAGCATAAATTTAGGAGATTTCAAACTAATTAGGAATATTTAGTTTCCTTAATTCACTCTAATTTGTTAAAATTAATTAAAAAGTCTGATTTTATCCATTTTTCTTCTACGTTACTCTCTCTTCGGGTTTTTTTTCCAGAATTGTTGTCACTGACGAGTAATCTAAGTTTTTTTTTGTTTGAAAAATCTTGATTTTGTTGTTGATGGATGACTGCTTATCTATATTAATTAAATATGGTGGTAGATGGGATCCTTCAGGTTGAATAAATGTTGGTATGAATAATTGGATGTTAACTATATATAGTTTGGATACCAATTATATGGTGTTCATTTTGATCTCCAATTAAATATCAAAACTAAACTGTTTATGTATCCAATTGTTATGTAGTTTGTATATAACTGATATCCAGAAATTTGTATCCAATTGATATGCAGTCTGTATATAACTAGTATCCTAAAATTATGAGAGTCGATATGTAATTCATAAATAGTTGATAACTGACTTGAAGAAAACAGTGCATATTCTATATCATTCAATACTTAAAACTATATAAAAAACAAATATATATCGTTCAAAAATTAAAAAGACATGAAACACCAAAGAGTCTAAGCTGCAATCAACTATCTCAAATTTGATATCTGTAGTCTTGGTGTAAGATAATTGTTGGTATCTAGAGCATGTTCTTTTGCTATGCGGGATCCATCAAATTTGCTAGCAACAGTCCCAGTTACTTCACTCTATCGCGCCATCATCGTTCTTTGTTTTTCCGCATTGCCATCAACCTAGTTGGAGAAATTGAAAAAAGAAACCTTCTTATTATAAAAAAAAATAGGTATTATAAGAAAATACCAATTTCATACCAACATTAGTCATAATTTATACAAAAAAAAAATGGGTGATTTAACAAACTACAATCAATTCACATAATTGGACCACTGATATCATACCATTTTTTTTATAAAAATAATACACAACTTAAGTCAGCTTTCATATCAACAATAAATCAATTTCATACCAATGTTAAAACACATTTCATACCATATTCATAAATCGTATATTAAATCAGCTTTCATACCAATATTATTCATGTTTCATGTCAGATTAGTAGACATAATGAGAATAATTTGAAAAAAATTAGATTTCCTCTAAACTGTGTACCAACTTCATACCAGATTTAAACAAGTTTCAAACCAAATATAAGTAATACATCATACCATTTTTATACCAAATTTTATACCAATTCATGCCAACATTAGACAAAATTCATGCCATATTCATAAATCGTTTATTAAGTCAGCTTTCATACCAATAATATGCATAATATAACAATTTTAACAAAAAAATCTACTAAATTGATTTAACTATATCCCATGTAGTAAAAAACTCAATTAACTTTTGGAGGACACAACACACACTCAGCAGTACTTTCCAAGAGTCCCAAAACAACATAAGGTTTCAAGAACATCTTTACCTCCTATAATAAACTCCAATCTACACTACACATGGCAATAAATCTCCCAAAAACATTAGCAAAATCAATAACGATTCGATTTTTAACCATTCCCCACGTAGTAAGAACTCAAATCAGCAAAACCCAGAAAGGATCAACCTCAAAACACCTCTGATTCACCTCCATGAAAATGGTAAAATAAACTTTCTTGCAATACAATTATCAAACGGGAATGGAGTATGGATGAGAGAGATGAAAGATGAATTTCTGTTTTTTTTTAACGTTGGAATTGACGTGGGGTGAGGGATTTAGGTGGGGTGTGACTTGTAACTGTAAAAATGGAACAGTAATCAATGTAAATCTCTATAATTGTGTAAGAGATAATTATGGGGTATTATTTATTTAAATAATTTAATAATAATATAAAGTTATGAAAAATTACTTATTTAATAAAGTAAATTTAATTAATTTATAAATAATTAGTGATATGTTAAACCCGTAATTAAACTGTTATAAGCAAGAATTTTTTAAAAGTAGATTTAAAACATGTAATATTGACTCTTAAATGTGTATATGGGGTGATTTTTCCTATAACAATTGACTCCCTATTAACATCCTATCTCCATCACATATGCATTATTAGAGTGTGTTACTCTCTATGGTCACAATTAGGGTTATTCATGGTTATGATTAAAAAATTGAATAGTAGTAATTTAAATCAAATCGATTAAAAAAATTAATATTTGGTGTGGTTTGATTTTAAATTTTGAAAATCGATACTATTTGGTTTTATTTTGATTTTACTAAAAAAATTTGCAAAAACAACCAAAACAAACCGAGAAATTATATATATAAATTTTATAATTATTTATATATTATTCATAAATAAAATATAAATATTTTGTTAAATTTTAATTAACTTAAGTCTTTAATTTTAGTATAATTTTTAGGAATCACATAGTTTTAATATGAAATTACAATCTATCCCTATTTAGTTTGTAATTACATTAATCCCTAAAAAAGTAAAACAAATCGGATACATAATATGGTAGCTCGGACATTAAAAACTAGCTTGGATACATTATAAAATAAATCGGATACATTAAAAACAAGCTCGGATACATTATAAAATAATTTAGAATTAGGAGAGAAATTAAGGGATTTTAGAGGTTTTTAGAAATAGAAGGGAATATTAGAAATAAGAGAAACATAAGACGTGTATTTCAGTAATTTTTCCTTAATTTTACCATTTTCTCAAGCCCAACACTTAAATTTTAACACAATTATTAAAATCCTAAGATCAAATCCATCAAAAATTCATTACTTTATCTATACCTACCCTACCTTATACCACATAGTCACACTTTCTCTTGATTGAATCATTTTGTTCGTGTAATGATATTCTAGTGTTGTTTAATTGAATCCATAGTAGTTTTCTAGTGGATTGTTCATGTACTAGGTGTTTGTGTATATCGAGATGCCTATGCCCTCAACAAATTTAATACTTTCAAATCGAAAAAAATAAAAAGACTGAACGAAACCGAACCAAACGAACTATAAGAAAACCGGCGGTTATTTTTTTAATTTGGTTTGGTTTGGTTTTAGAAATTTAAAAATTGACTGTATTGGTTTGATTTTAGTTTTGACCAATAACCGATCCAAACCAAACTATGAACACCCGTGGTCACAATACAACCTCAGTCATGTTGTTTTCCAGTTGAATATGAAAAAAATGCACGTTTTCTCTTCAACTGACTTAATCTTTAATATTTTCCTTCTAATGAGTCGTTTTTAAATTTCTGTCTTTAACAATCGAACTTATATCTAGTAGGATTTAAGTTTTTAATAGCACATGATATAATATGTAGGAAATTATAATGCGAAAATATAATTGAACCATATTCTTTATTCATTTAATACTATCATCAAATAAATTCATATTAAAAAAAAGTACCACAATATGTACCACATTGAGTACAAACCCCATATAATACACCATTATAAAGATTTTTCGTAATTGAATTAAAATTTGAGATAGTTGATTTTTTAAGAAAATATTTGTTGTTCTATCTAACTTTGAAAGTTTCTCTAAATATAAATGGCGTCTTCTAAAATGGAGGGATGAAAAATGAAGAGAATCAAGTTAATGAGAGGGAAAATGGTGTGTGTAAAAGTTAAGGAGAGAATATGAATATGAAAAAACTTAGAGAAATTTATGGAAAGGAAATTAGGAGCTTAACTGTTTTTTAAAATATATTATGCTTGTTTGGTAAGAAATTGACACATTAAATTATAAGTGTATTAAAATGTGTGAGAAATGTATTATTCATCAATAAAACTTGTATTATATGTGAATAATAAATTGTACTTTGTAATATGTATTAAAATTGTATTATAAATGTATTAAAAGTGATCAAGTGAAAAAAATGTTATTGCTATAAATGGTAAATATTTTCTTAATATAGTATATTTATGTAAGTTTCCCTTGATTTCATCTTATCTCATGGATCCAAATTGGTGACACGTGTCAAATTAAATAATATGACATACCAAGTCAAATAAAAAAAATTAATAGGAACGTACAACAAGTCAAAATGACACAACATACCTAATCAAATCAAATCAAAGGCCAATGAAAATGTATCATGTGTACAAGTGACATGTTTCGGTCAATTAAATATTGTTATGTCACTTAACTTTTATTGGCCGAAAAGATTTTGTCTTTATCACAACTCTTCCATCCTACAACTAAATAGGGGTTTCATAATTCAGAAAAGATACTAGAATTCAATCAAGAAGATTGGGAAAGCTTGTAGATCAAACATCGCAATTTCTCTACAAGCTACAATTTCAAGCAACCAAGTTTAAATAGAGTTTTTTGCCAAAATCATCCTTTAACTATACGCCAAACTTAAACGACATCCTTAAAGTATCATTTTTAGCAGAAAACATCCTTCAAGTATTTAAAAGTGAACAATTTTCATCATTCTACTTGAATTTATCAGAAAACTAACAGATCCCACAAAAATCAAGTCATTCTTACGTAATTATTATTCTTAGATACATCAAACATACTATCGTGAACTTTTTCGGTAATTGAGTTTAGCATTATGCGAAATCTTTTAATTTGACAAATTTTTTTCATTTATTTTTTT